GAACGAACTCCAGATCGGCCCTCCCAAGGAAGAACAGGGCTTGGCGGCGGCTCCGTATCGTAAAACGTGATGAATCCTTCTCTCTGATTTTTTTTCTCCCCGAAGGAGAATATATGGAGTTGGAGTTGAGGTCGGTGGAGGTCCAGGGGGCCCACAAGGTCGGGTGGCGCGCCCAGGGGGTGGCCGCGCCCCCACCCTTGTGGCCAGGGTGTGGGCCCCCTTCACTTGATTATTTCGCCAATACTTTGTATTAATTCCAAAACTGATCTTCGTGAAGTTTCAGGTCATTCCGAGAACTTTTTATTCTGCACAAAAATAACACCATGGCAATTCTGCTGAAAACAGCGTCAGTCCAGGCTAGTTCCATTCAAATCATGCAAGTTAGAGTCCAAAACAAGGGCAAAAGAGTTTAAAAAATTAGATACGACCGAGACGTATCAAGAGGTTTGACCATTCACTTAGAACATCCTCAAGAACACTTTTCACTCTCTCTCTCTCTCTCACTCACTCCTACACCAAATCTTAGATCCCCAAGGGATTTGAGAGCATTTGAGAGAAGTTGTCCACTCAAGTGATAGATCCACTCCTTCCCCATCCTTGCACCAAAGGAGTACGTGATTTGAGCGAGTCTTGAGCCTTTCCCCATCGTTCTTATTACTCTTGGAGGTTGGAGACTCCTAGGCGGTAGGAGTCATTCGGAGAGGAATCGACCATTGTGATTACCCCCCGAAAGTTTGTGAGGGTTTGAAGACCACCCCAAGGTCTACCACTAGTGGTTGAGAAACGCCTTCGTGGTGTTGTCTCAAAGGGAGAATAGGGTGAGCCTTTGTGGCGTTGGTGTGCATTCGTGGTAACATCCACCTCTCTAACAGTGACGTAGCTTCCCTCCAAGGAAGTGAACATCAGCATACATCCTCGTCTCTCGAAGTTGCAGTTATTCCTAACCCTAACTTCCTACTTGTGGTTACTTGTCTCTTAGTATTTACTTATATCATATTGTGCTTGCTTACTCACATACTTGTGTTACTTGTTTACCTTGCTTAGCTCTTAGCATCATACTTGCAATTGTTAGGCTCACTTTCATATTCTGCATTATTGGCTAAAAATTGCTAAGTAACAATTAAAATTTGTAATTGTACCTATTCACTCCCCCCCCCTCTAGGTCCATCTCGATCCTTTCAAAACAGAACATTAGAAATTGCTGCGGCATCTCTGTTGACCTTAACTCCAGACATGTTATCAATCTCCTCTGCATTCGCTAAAAGGGATGTCGGACCCTCAGTGCACAACAAAAAAAGTAGGGCAAGAGAGGATCCCCCTGCCTCAGTCCTCTCGTAGGTTTAAAACTCGATGTTTCTTCAGTATTTAATTGGACACGGTACTCCACTGTGGAAACACACTACATAATTAGATTCACCCAGTTCTCCTTGAAACCCAATTTCAGTAAAATTCCTTCCAAGAAAACCCAATCCACTCAATCATATGCTTTATGCATGTCCAATTTGATCGCACATGGACCCTCTTTACCCGCCTTTTTCTTCTTTATAGTATGGAAGCACTCTTTTGCCACAAGACATTATCAGTAATCAGTCTTCCAGGAACAAAAGCACTCTGAGTTGGGCTAGTAATCTCTGATAGGATTAGCTTCATGCGGGCCTCTATTATTTTTTATATAACTTTGTACACCATATTACACAAGCTGATCATTCTAAATTGAGTTACCTTCTCCGGAGAACTATCCTTTGGGATCATTACAATTGCAATCTCATTCCATCCAGGCAGTATAGTACAAGTATTCACAACCTATAGAACCTCCTCGATCAGATCATCCCCCAACATAGACCAAAATCTTTTGTAAAAGGACTGAAGGACCACCTCAGTCTATTTCTTTCAAGCGTGAAATCTTGCTTGTTTCCTCAAAGGCACATGTACGGAAAGCATGGTTTTTTCATGTTGTGTGATCAATTTTTCCTTCGGCATGGGGTCTCCAATGCTGCCATCAGTGCCACCAATTGTCGACACTGTCATGTTTCATCCGGGACGCCATCGACACCCACCGTGACTCTCCGACGTTCGCCATCTCATCATCAAGTCGTAGTTCCACGATACTCACCTTCCTCGATGCCACCGAGCGCTACCGTATCACCAGGCATGGCCCAATCCACCACGAGGGAAACACCCTCTTCTTCAAGTATCTGAAGCAGACGCTGGTGGCTCACTTATCACCCAAGCCGCTACCAATGACATCTACGCGCCGGCTGCTTCCATGCACACACGCACATCCCTAAGTCCCTGTTGGCCCGCTCTGTCAGCTTCGTCGACATGCTGCTGCCCGATGTGATGGCGGAAGGCAAAATAACTTTTTAGAACATGGTATGGAATATATTTGTTTTTGCAAAAGAATGAATATATAAGATGGAATTGAATGTACATTATGTTAAGAGAGGAAGTACTGTGTAGGAAAAAGATTCACTGTTGTCATGGCGGATGGCAAAATCACTTTCCGGCTTGCCACCATCGTCAACCTGCAACACCTAGTTTCAACGGAAACAAAAACTCAACCCAAAAATACAGTTGAAGCAAAATCAAAAAATGGTCCCATCAAAAAATAACTCTGGTTCCAACAAAACAACCAGAGCGCTGGAAATTCAGGTAAATTGTGTGAAGCAAAAATTTACCACGGTCCCAGCAAAAACAAATTCTGGTTCCAACAAAACCAAAACTGAGCAAGTAGGAATCTCAGGTAAAAACATGTTTGAAGCAAAAATTTACCTGGTTCCATCAAAATTTACCTCCGGTTTCAGCAGCATAATCACATCTCACATCCAACCTTCTAGCTCCCCTAAACGTTGGTTGCAGCTTCGACGTGCACGGTTGCAACTCCGCTGACGAGGGGCACAACTGAGTGCGGCCCTCCTCATCGTTGTATGCAGCTCCTGTGATCCACAGTTGCAGTCGGCACCACTGGATGTAGCTCGACCAAATAGACGGTTGCAGCTCCGCCAAACGCCGGTTGCAGCTCATGTGGCCCCTGATTTGTTGCTAGGTGTGGCTGTTGGGAGACGTAGTAGAAAACAGAAAAAGTTCGCACCAATTCACCACCCCTGTTGGCCCTTTGACGCTCCTCCGCGGCCCCCACGCACCGCCGCCGCCACCGCGACGCTGCCGCCCTGAATCACGTTGTGCTGCCACCGCCCTAATTCGGCCGCCGCCCAATAGTTTCTACATCTTCATTTTGCATCATCTATTGGAGTTGCCCTCTTACATCTCCAATATACATCATCTGTTGGAATTGCCTCTTTTTTAGAGATGTAAAAAGCTTTTTTTGGAGATGTAAATTTGTACATCTCTAAATTTGCATCTTGTATTGGAGATGCTCTAAGAGTCACTCTCCGCTGCGAAGGGGCTAAATCGCTACACGATATAGTACACGTGTGTTCTATTTCCTTCGTCAAACCTGCAACAGTCTGGTATACTCATTCCTATATTGTTTGTGAAAATACCCCTAGGGTGACGGTACGCGTTCGTTGACAGATAAAACAAAAATATCGGCCGCCTTCATGGTCATCAGATTGACGCAAAAATAGCCACCGTGTGCGTCGTGAATTGCAATAAGCTGGCTGTTGCGATGTTCACTCTGCAACTACGGTCCTGATTGCAAAACCATCTAAAGAGTTTTTTAGCATGACATGTTATTTTCTTTAGCGTTACTTTTGCAACAAAGGTCATGTTGCATAAATATATTTGCAACAAAGGTTGTGTTACAAAAATCTTTTTTCATCTTTCAACTTTCTGCAACAAAGATGATGTTGCGGAAGTATTTTTGCAACAAGGAAGATGTTGGAGAAAATATTTCAATGAAAAAAATGAACGGGCTGGCTACTTGTTGGCCTTCGTATGTGTTGTAACATAGTTTGTGGTACAAACTTGTATTTGCAACATGCCCAATGTTGCAAACTTGTTGACCCATCTGCGTAGTGCTACATGTCGTATGATTAAATCAAATCGGATGGCCATGGAGATGACGGACATGCGCGAGTCATCTGCGGATATGCGCGAGTCACTCTTTCTCATGCCAAAATACCACTTTTAATAAATAAAAAAACAAAGTGCCAACATGGCACTCAGCTCTCAGTTATTTCTGAATTACTCCCTTTCTCCCTTAAAAAGACAAATATACCCTTTTCTTCTAACCCTATCACCACGCGCGCATCTCTCCTTCCTCTTCTCCCGCCTCCCGAACCGGCCGCCGCCGCCACCCCCCGCCGCCGCTGCTTCCCATCGACCTCCGCCTGTCCTCCCGACCGCGTCCCCGCTCGCCTCCGCTGCTCGCCCCGCACGGCCCGCCCAATCTTCTGCTCGCCCCCGCGCGGCTTGTCGCCTAGCCTGCAAGTCTGCTCGCCGCCACCCGCTCGACCACGCCCCCGACGACGAAGGCGCGGCGGCCGCGACCTCGACCTCGACGGCCCTTGCTCGGGCGCCCTCCCAGGCTCGGCCCCCGCGACGTCGACGACGTTTCTTGCTGGGTCTGTTCCTCACTTTCCTTTCTTTCCTGCTGTCTCCTTACCTAGTCCCATGAACACCAATGTGGGTTGCTTTCTTTCAGCATTTGAACAAAAGGGATCATGCGGCTTAAACGGGGGAAAAAAATACAACATACTACTAGTTTGTAGGCTTGGAAGTTGGAATGTTCAGTGAAGAGAACCACAGGAACTATAATCATAGCAACATCAAACTCATTGCCATCAGTGTCAATGCCAATAATCCGATAATCACCGGCTGATTTCGCCCTCCCAGCAACCTAAATATGAAAGTTCAGATGTCAAACAAAGCTCATTTTTCAGACCCGGTTACATCATCAGTAATTCAGTATGTCCAGATATATTTTACTCATTGCAAGTTGAGCTATACTGCCCACTGCAATGTTATAGCCCTGCACGGGAATCCATCCCCTGAGAGCCGGCCGCCGCTTATGGAGCACGAACCATGAGGCCAAAACAATGGCAAGAAATTTGAGTTCTCGTAAACCGGATAGAGTACAAGTTAACAATCGACGTGCTTCTGCTTCATCTGTCTTTACTTGGCTACTATAGCTGACACTGTATTGTTTCTGTTTCTCAGCTTATGGACATGGCGGGTCCAAGATGGAAGAAGGGCAAAGATGGCAAGGACTTTGCAGCTCTGGCAGCAGCTCACCCCATGTCAAGCATTGTTGCTGAGCTCCAGTCCTCGCTGAAAGGCTCGAAACTTGTGGCAACTTTATCTTGTCGGGGCAGGGATGCGACCCTCGGTGTGAATCTGCAGCAAGCTGCACTTCTTAACCGTGCGGCCTTTGGCCGGGCGCTGGATAATGCCGAAGCAGAGAAACAGTGGTTCCAGCTGGGGGCTGAGGAGGTCTTCTATCTTTACCATGGTTTGAAGTGCATCTCAGTGTCAGAGAGCAAGAAGCTGTTGAGCGAAGGGGAGCTGTGGGATCACTTATGCTCTGCATCGGAGTCATTTCCCGAGATGTACAAGGCATACTCGCATCTCAGATCGAAGAACTGGGTGGTGCGGTCAGGTTTGCAGTATGGTGCAGATTTTGTAGCTTACCGTCATCACCCAGCACTCGTCCACTCAGAGTTTGCTGTGGTTGTTGTTCCAGAAGGAGCGGAGTTCGGCGGTAGGTGTGGCCGCCTGAATGTGTGGTCTGATCTACTGTGTGCACTCCGAGCTTCTGGCAGTGTGGCCAAGGCACTGCTGGTTCTAACCATCTCCAGCAGTAATTGTGGATTGAGCTCCCCAGATTGTTTAGAACAACTGGTTGTTCATGAGAGAACAATTACTAGGTGGATAGCGCAGCAGTGCCGTGAGCAGCGAAGTGAACTGTGCAGAGAAGAAGCAGAGAAGGAAGAACAATATCATGCAAGAGAAACTGTAGCCTTCAACTATTTGGGCGTAATACTAGGCTTCACAGTTCTTTCTAGCTTACTTGTATACACGCTGAGATTCCTATAATAAAGCTAAATATTTCTCTGTACTCCTATTGGTGATGTGTAACTTCTCATCTTATGGCAATCCTGTGCCAGTACTCATGTGCATTTTGGAAAGATTTCTGGAAATGGTCCATACATATATCCATACAACTGTATCTGCAGAGTGCACACATCATATTATGGTATGCTCTGGAGTGGCATTTTCTGTGCCTTTTCAAGGACTGCAGGACTAGAAACCTCTGAATGACCAGCGCACCAGCCTATTGAAGAAAAGAGATACGCTAGATACATTTTCTTCAAATATTTGCAGACATTTTTTCCTTATATACTTTCAGTGTTTAGTACTTGAACACATTCAGGCCTTAAGTATACATTTAGTAAACATCAGAGTCGATATCTACTGTATTGAAGAACTGAAGGTACAATGTCTGTAAAGCATGTATGATCATAGACAGAGGTGGCAACATGAAGTCTGTAAATACACATACTATATCATATTATTATTATGTATATATATTCAACAATTTGACTTGATCTGTCTCTGAATTTATAGATCCGCATACAGTAAATAATTTAATTGCCATAATTAGAGATCATTATGTGATCTTAAAGCGCAACTGTGGAAATAACAGCATGCACAATGGTAGCTATTCATTCTTTCTTCCTATTTGAGGCTCCTGCCTTTAGGTGCGCATTGGCAATTCTATCTGGTAATGCACTGTGTGGTTCTTCCATATACCACTCTCGAGGTACTTCTCATATAAGCTAGCTTCTCCATCATAGTTCACTGAAAGAACTGCTGTGCTCCTTGTCCCATAGAGCCCCTTTGCAAAACAGAAACATGTGAAAAAATGTAAATATAGCATTGCAGTATCGATATAGGGTTCTGTACTAGAACATCTACGTGTTATTTTAGTGGTTAATAGGCATAATTTTAAAGATAATTCAACTCTGAATGTACTTGTAAAGTGCAATTGAGTCAAAGATTTTATGCTCACTTCGTCAGTTTGCACCTCGATGAAGATGGAGCTCAGACCGTGCTCCCAGTTGGGATCACAACCGGTGTTTGGCAGCCTATCTTTATCAGCCCTCGTGGTGTCAGTCATTAGTCTATCAGCTATATCCTTCGCTTCAACTTCATCATCACCATGCTTCCTTATAAACTCCCTGAAGTTTTTACCAAGGCGAATTGCCTACAAGCAATATATGCAATAATGAAAAATTGTCTGCACTGTGTTCATTGGCACATTATAGTATACTGAATGGTCCCTAAGACAGAGTGGCTTGCAATCATGTGCTATCTACTCCTGTCTTGCTGCTCGTACATGCAGTGCTATTAATTGAGTTAAATGCACTGCCCTCTATAACTAGGGAAGTACTTGAAAGGCTTTCATGTTGCTTTCTCACATCTTTTCCGGCTCAAAAGTCTCCTTTAGGATTCTTAGTGCAGTACAAGTAAAATCAACAAAGGACACCTCATTGGACATTCTAGCTATTGGACATGGAGTAGTTCTGTTACCTTCTGCCAAGGGCTGTCTAGCCTTGCATTGGACAACACATGGAGTCCTGGTGAGACGAGCTGAATCGTCGCAGGCTGCCCCTTTGGCCGGTTTGACACATAAACCATGACATTCCTGGTTAGATCAGCTAGTATAAGGTTGAAGCCATTGTACTCATCAGCTTCTTTTGCGACTTCAGTTGCAACCTCCAGTGGGCTCTTGTTGCCCTGCACAATACAGATTCTGAGGTTCATGCTTATGTTTGGAGCAAGATATTTCGATGCTGATTGTGCTCACCCTTAGCGCACATCATATGCATGTTTTAAACTGTAAAACCATGAATTCATGAATTATCCTATGAATGCTTATTTGTTTGAAGGACGGCAGCAGTTTAACCATTGTAATAGCAGCAACTAAAAATATTTTAAAAGGTAAAGTTTTCGTTTCTAAAAATGGGATTTTATGTCTTTGTCTTGATGTAAGCAATCTCTGTACCAATCACCATCAGTACTCAGAAGAATGGAATAAACACTAGACAGATAGCGACTTTCAGCACATAAAAAAGATTCTGACAGGAAAGCATAGTACAAAACACCAACTTTGTTTGTACAAATGAAACATATCTTTCTTGTCATGTGCATATCTCCTACATTGACAACCACCAACTTGAGTTTTGATTTACCTGCAGGAACCTGAGGGGCAGGTCTCCCCTAGTGCGTGCGCCAGGCATCACATCAGGCTCGAGCACATTGGTCAGGAAGGCAAGTCTGCCATCTTTGGTGCTCCCCATCCATGTTCCTCCACCAAGTACATCCCTGCCACCAAGAATCTTCATTGAGCCCTCCCCCCACCATCCTACTGCCTTTGTAGGCCTGCAATACATGGAGAACAGCAGTTGAACATACATCATTGTTATTCTGCAATGGGAATAGGCTTCTCTAAGATAATTTGCGATGTGGCCTAGTGAAGAAAGTGAGCAGTGATATTAGGATTGGAATGTTGGCATGACATATGACTTCGAACATATAATTCAGGAGTGAGAAGAGCTAAACTCGAAAACAAAAGCTTACAATTCAGAGATTCAGATCGGAGTACCGCGAGGATGAATGAAACCAAATAAAATCCTGTACCTGCTATGGAACTCATCTCTGTTGAGCAGCAGCAGGAGCTGGTGCTGAGGGTGAGCCTGCCAAATCCATGCAGCGATACACATGGCTTCAGGTGGTTCCTTACTCCTTGCTTCTAAATAACTCCCTTGTTTTGCAACCGTGCGCCTTGTGTATGGTTGTGTGTTTACCTGATACTTCTCCCCGTACATGCCTTTGTATTTATAGGAAGAAGAAGGCTGAAGGGGAGAGAGAAGAGGAGCAGAGCCCACAGAGTGTCTTACATTATTGCGTGCAACCAGGTGCTCTGTAGTCTGTTATTCTTCTGTCAGAGAGTTCCAGCCTGTTTCACTTACCAGGCCATTACCTGCCGTCTCAGGTCCTGAGGGTCCCCTACTTACCACTAACTTCTTCCCTACAGGTACCCTTGACTTGTGTGATAAGTGGGGAAATATTTAGTATTTTCTTTCAGGATAACTCCCATGCCTTGTGACCATGAGGTCATAGGTTCAAGTCCTGGAAACAGCCTCTTACAGAAATATAGGGAAAGGCTGCGTACTATAGACCCAAAGTGGTCGGACCCTTCCCTGGACCCTGCGCAAGCGGAAGCTACATGCACCAGGTTGCCCTTTTTTTTTCTTTCAGGATAACTCCCAGTTTGGCCCATCCTCTTGGCTCAGAATGGGGACAGCATCTACCACGATTAACGCCAACTCTATTACTTTTAGTGCTTGCTTGGAGATGTAACTTTGATGCTCTTTTCCTGTAGGTTGCTGTTCTATTATTTCTGGGGACAGAAACCAAAAGGCACGTGAATCGCTATTAGGGTAGATTCATACAATGAGTGATTAGCAGGCAGATCTGCCAAAACAATTCTCTAGATTCTGGACAATGATCTTGCTGATCCATATCTTCATGGAAGTGGGATCTTGACTGGATCACTCTCCTGTACTGGATTGGAATCGGATATACACAAGTGGTAAACAACGGCCTGGTCTTTCCAAGCATACTCTATGACTCTGCGCCGTTGCGTATTGAAACCCGCCTACCTGTATCCTGTGGGTAGTTGGCTTTGATGGTTCCACACGTGTCACTCCAGGAAAACAACACGCCTTTCAGGTATACATCATCTGCCCTATCTGCTTCCAGGCAAGTCAATTTTGTTTTCCTGTGCAGCAACATACTTTTCATCTTTGCCTTGGTCATGCTTATCATGTCATGAGATAGACATGTCAAGTGGAGTAATTAAAAAGGGTAAAAAATTGCTGATTCGTAGCACCCAGAATACCAAGATAGCACATACGCTGTGGTTTAGGATTTGCAGAGGGGAAGGGTCATATGTTATGTCCACTGGTTTGACAAGTTGTCTAATTTTCTACTGTTGAAAGGGGAAGGAAAACCAGTAACTTTCTGGTCACGGTATAGGTACATGGTTTATATCTCCTTGTGATAACATTCAGGTCATCATACTCTTAATTATCCATTACATCACTGCCTTCTAGAGCTGACATGAGTTGGATATCATACCAAACAAAGTCTCGGAAGATTGTTGGCCACTATTATGCACTGAACTTCACTCCTTATCTGCAACCTCCCAGTTTTACCACAAGTAGTAACGAGATATTTCACAAGTAGTAACGAGATATTTGGCTGCGTTTCCTAAAAAAAAGATATTTGGATGCTTAGCTTCATTTAGCTCTGTAGTACGACTAATGTGTATTTTTGTTGGTGTTAGGAGGATGATACCCAGCATTTAGTAAGGACGGTCGAATCAGGTAAAGTTGTTGATTCTCACTAATTCATTCTAAGCAGACAACTTCATCCTGTTTGGTGGGGAGGCACTTTCAGAGCCTTCTTATGCAGTGGTGGTTGCTCATGGAATCATCAGCGTGTAACAGACCGCAAGAGCCTAGGAGGTAGTCTGGCCCCATTTTCGGTGCACACTTGGTAGTTGTCAGTGCTACCCATGCTACAATAATGTTGGCATGCATCTGCTCATTTTTGACATGCAATTGCTTGAACAAAAAAGGAACATTTATTATGGGTCAGCAAAATTAGAAGGATAACCACACAAGGTGCCCCCATAGGCTGGGGCCTCACTCAACCTACAATGTCGGCTGCCCAATTACTCTGTCACCATGCCTTTGCCATTATGCATATGAATGGCACTACTGCCCCTTGGCTGCCAATTGCTAACTGCTACATTTCTTGCCAACTCTCATGCGCCCTTAGTTATTGCCACCATAACAATAATGCTCGCTGCTCTAACGTGCGGGCGTACGCATATGGGCGGCTATGATGAACACCGTGCAAATCAATTCCATGGAAACAAAGGTGGGGATGGAGGAAAAAGTTGGTGAGACCTCTGCTATTCCTGCAACCAGAAACACCATGATTTTGCTGCTGCTTGTCATCTTGTTACTTATGCTTCTGTTTTTGTACCCAGGTTTGACTACTTTTTTACCAGCTTGAGATTCTTGTTTTTACTATATAATGATGAGTTGGTGAGACCGCTGCCCTGCTCTTCCTGCAAGCAGAGCCAGTGATGATTTTGCTGCTTCTTGTCATCTTGTTACTTGTGCATGTGCTTTTGTACCCAGGTTTGACTACTTGTATTTTCAGCTTGAGATTCTTGTTATTACTATTTTATGATTGATTGTGTGGTACTCTGGTGGTTAAAATTACTATTTGTTACGGTAGAGGAATCACTAGAATCTTTAGGTCAAACGTCAAAGTTGCGTTTATGAGAGACTTACAGTGAGTTGTAGCTGAACATGGAGCAAGTATAATTAAAGCTGCAATATATTTCCTGTTTGGAAATAAATAGATTACAGTGTTCCTGATTTTTTCCCTGTAAATTTAGTATATATTCCTTTTTTAAAATGCTCCTGAGTGTTGAAAATGTTGAAAAGGCCATGCTGGGCCCAGTTAACATTAGCCTATTTGGCCCATAATTGACCAACGAAATGGGCTTTGACTACAGTGGTGGTGTCCAGGGGATGTAGCTCTGTAGAATTGGCCAGGCCGGTTTAAACTCAGGTTCCATTTGTTTTCTTTCATTCCCCTCGGTCTGTCGGCCCTTTTGAGCTGTAAAATGGGTTGTCCCAAAGTCACGGCTTATTTCTCCTTTCTTAGACTTTTTCCATAGAAAAAAAATTGGAATCTGATGCTCTCTTTGAGGCTCTCCTTGACATCTTAATGACTCTTACGAAAGCACACGTTTTTTGTTCATGTTTTTGTGTGTGCATGGAAGCATCACTTTCGGAACAGAATGTTACTAGAATAGTGAACTCCCAAAGTTTCATCCCTTTTTTTAGAAAAAGAAAACAAGGATGCATCTGAATAACTAAATTTCACATGGAAACATGCCAAGATAAGAGACAAAGAGAAGGTAGTGATGCGACGAAAATAGTAATTACATACTTCGAAATTTTGGGTAATAAAAAAACTATGGTTTATCCTCTTGTATTTAGTTATCTAAACTAATTCAGTGTTGACGATGATCTGTTGGCAACTTCCTTGTCGGCATTGGCGAACCTAGAGTTAAAGGCCTCCAGCTCCTCAAATTGACGAGCTCTTACCTATCAAAAGGGCCAAGCTCATGCTACTCACATGACATTACTAAAAATAACAATTACCTTCTTCATTATCACACTCATATGTATGTTATGACTATGATTATGACTAGTGTTGGCTGTTAATATATTTTATGGAGTCACAAAATTATATACATACCTCAAAACGGCCTCCTGGTTTTTCTTTATCGCCCTGAAAAGAAGGGCTTGTAATGGTGAGCATTGAGAACCAAGACATGGAATTTAACTGCTGAGAAAAACTGGACAAATAATACCTCGCCTTGGAGCGTGGGAACTGCACGATGGACAACGTACTGCATGTCTACGACGCCGATTTGCTCTTCAGGATCCTGCCAATTTCAAATGAGAGGCATCAATCAATATGTAAAACCAAATGCTGTTAGGCATATGTACATGAACATATATTTTGAGTCGCTGCTCAAAAAAGAGGCAATGCTTATTACATCGACGCATCTCCAGAAATAGGAGTCGATAGGCCATCCACTACCGGAAACTGGCCCTACCCCGACGGCCAAATCAATGCCGACGGCTGCCGTCGGCCTACTTTGCGCTATGCCGACAGCCACGTCTTGGCCGTCGGCGTATCTTCGCCGTCGGGCTACCACGAGCTAAGCCGACGGCACCCGTCGGCATACATATGTCGTCGGCCCAGCTGCGAACATGGGGACAGCAACCGTCGGCATACCCAGGCCGTCGGCATACCCGTGGGCCCGGTGACCCCGCCCGTGACCAGTGGTTAACGTCGTCAAATCTATGCCGACGGCCTGGACGGGCGGCCTTCGGCATATATCGTCATGCCACGTCACTGATCCGCGACGCACTGTCCACGAGCTAAGCCGACGGCTGCCGTCGACATACCAGCCACGTCAGCGATCCGCGGCACGCCGCCCGCCGCCTAAAACCTGGCCGTCTCTATGCCGACGGCATCGGCATAGGTAGACTTTTTTTCATATGTATTTTTTAAGCTTTTTTATGTATTATTATATAAACTAACAAGTAGCATGTTAAATATAAACATACATATGAATATATATGTAGTTTGTATTTTTTTCATATATTATGAATATATATATATATATGGTTTGTATTTTTTTGAGCACGTTAATAATGTGCGGTCATGTTCTTTTGAATATAGATCATTATATTTTATTAAAATCAAAAACAGCTACGCCGACAAAAGTTTTGTGGCGGTTGCAAACGCCTGACACCCGTCTCCAGAGTGTGACCCCCCTCACGTCCGCGGTGTGCCCCCCTCATGGACGGCGCTGGCACCTGGAGGGGGGAAACGAACGCGTCGGGTCTACACGGTGGATGTAGCTGTGGGTTTGGCCCGGATGGTGCTCCCGGGTGTCCCTACGGGCGACCTGACACAACCGGGTGCAGAGGTCCACTGGTCAAAGCCCGTCCGTGGGAAGTCAAAAGGCTAGATCTCGTGGTCAACTGCTCCACGGTTAGGCGGGACGGGGGCCTTGGGGGGGTAGCAATGCCACCGGAGCATCGTACCGGACCCTCATACATGCGAG